CCGCGGTAAAAAACGGCGCCGTTAAAGAAACGGCCCGCCGTTAAAGTTAACGGAGTCCGCTTGTTTGGTGTATTAAACACCAACTGACACTATAGTATATCTAAACCGATACTGCAGTTATATCAAAATGATACTGTAGTTATAGTGAAATGAAGCTGCAGTGTATATAAAATGAAACTGAATAACATTTCACATATTTGAGTGTATATTATACAATGAAGCTGTAATTATATCAAAATGATCATGTAGTTGTGTTTTAATGAAACTATAGTGTATATAAAATAAAATTAAATAACATTTTCACATATTTGAGTCTATAAATATCGAATGAAACTATAGTTATATCGAAATGAAACTGTAGTTGTGTTGAACTGAAACTGTAGTGTATACAAAATGGCACTGAATAACAGAGTTACTTTTTGCAAAAGGGTGCGAAACGACGAAAACAAACACGGTTTATTTTCATTTAAAAAAAAAAGACGCGCGGTGCATAATATAATTTGCCCCTTAGGCCTCACACCTTCACCCCTGGACACGTAATGGTGGTGAGCAAAGGTCCGGTATGTTCTGTTTGGTTTCATCTTATTTGTGGATTTTTCTAATCTGAATTGGCGCTGGAGTTGGAGTGCGTTGGAGATGGATTCCGACGTCCCTTGATTTTTCCGGTCAGTTTGGGTGGATTCCGTCCGTGGATGGGTGTTTCCGGTAAGGGTGTTCTATGGCCGTGTCGACTGTCTCTGTTGTTCTCCAGCGTCGTCGATTCGCCGATGGAAGTCCGTGGGTGGTGGCGATTCTCCGATGGTTGACCGGCGCTGGCCTCGGTATGGAAAGGACGATGAATTTGGGATTTGCGTGATTCATGGGATCATATTATTATGGTGTTGATTTGATTCTTTCCATATCTTATCTGCAAACCGCGTTGGAGGAGATACGCACGTGGGGTTTTGCCGGACGTGCATGGATTATAGTTACGGACACCGGGTCTACCCGCGTAATGTGGGTGGACCCGTTTCATGGCACTATGGTTTAGGTATTTTCTGTTACAAGGTTCTTAGCAAGGTGGACTTCGTGGCTTGATGGTATAGAGGTCGTTTGGAAGCCTTATGGCGTGGGTTCGACCCTCTCTTACAATGGTGAATTTTGAATAATTCTCCATACCTTTTGTAGACGCATTTACTGTTGCACGTGCATTCTTGATTTTTCAGAGAGCATTTGGTCTTAAGTGTGAATGTGGTGCAGTGGTAGAGGGCGTGTGCATTAGGTACTCCGGCCAGGGTTCGAATCTGGTTAAGATACTTATCTTAAGATAAGATAAGATAAAATGGATTCAATGATTCAAGCTAGCGTGGCGGGAGAAATCTCACCTTGTTGGTGTGAGGCCCGGGTTAGAGTTTTCGTGGAGATTTGATTTTACATTCAGCTCTTCAAGACTTTCGTTTGAGCCGTGCATAGAGCTGATTCGGAGGACCATAGTGCACGGGACTTGGTTTAGTTGTGCATCCCGGACTTTATTGTTTTATTTTAAATGATTTATTTACATGTGTATTTGTTTGTTTTTTATTTTTAACGATTGGTGTAATCAGAGGTATGCCCCGGTGTCACATGTTTTTGAACATTTGATTTATATTTACATCTCCGATTTGACGTACTGCTACCCGAACGCTCTTCCGACTATCGACACCTCTCGTCCGGCTACCAACTAGTTACCTAATTTCCCTGATGACGGCTCACAAGACTCACCCGGCCACCTGGCTGGCTGCCGTCACCTCCTTTCTTCAACTTCTCGTATTCTGCTCTGCGAATTAGGAAACATGAGATAGAATCTACAATAATTATACACATATATAGATAGGCAATAAATTAAAACACCCAATTCAGAGAATTGGTCGAATAACAGCAACGTAACTATATATAATTCTTCCCAGCTGGGAAAAGGTAAACGTACGTACACAAGAGGCAACGTAACTGCACACATGAGGCCACGTTACGTTACTTATAATAAATTCAAATAACTAGTAAACTCGGATCTCAGCCCGGCCTGTAGGGGAAAAAAATGTTGATGTCTATGAGGCAGGGCCTGTCCAGGCCATGTTGGTTTAGAGCAACCAAATGAATATCATATCATATCATATCATGCTTGTGCATGTCATTCACTAATCACTATATATCATTCAATTCAAATGTTATCCAAAGTGTCAGTTAATGTCTTATATTTGTGTGTGTGGAAACAAAACATGCCTCAGCTCCTACATGTCCATTTTAGACTATATATCCTGTTTTGATATATTAGTCAAAATTTTAATAGCCAACAAAATTATTAAATACACAAGTTTTAATTTGTGCCAGCAGTGTATGATTTATATACATAGTCGAGAAATAACATATGCTAGAACGTACGTAGTAGAGTGAAACAAAAGGCCTATGGGCCAAGTAGGCCGGTCTTGTGAAGTATATAGGGTTATAACATAGAATTAAATACGGATCGGAGTATAAATTAAAGTTTATTATAATTTTTTTTAATTCAATTTCACTTTATGACTTATTGTATCATTGGTTCTTGATTTTAAAAAATATTTAACTTTCAAGTTTCAATTCAAAATGTGTAAAATTCTCACTTTTTGAAATTGTACCTTATTGCAATTATTAGAGATATTTTATACATTTTCATTTTTGCACTATATATAGTCAAGGATTAAATGTAAAAATGTTACTATAGTCTTGAGATAATAATTAATAAGTGAAATAAATCCATAAAAATCAACATAGTATAGTATTATTACTGACTACCTAACCATAACATTATATGAAGTATTTCAATGATTAGCTAGTGGGGAAATTACATGGCGTTAGCCCCCGAAGGCTGGATTTCTGCACCAGTAGTCTGAAAAATGCCCGGAGGGCCCTGACGCCTTACTTTGCTAGCCAACCACATTAGTGTCCTGGCTTTGTTGGCCGGGAAATCATCAAACACCATAACCGTGCCGTAGTAGAAAAGTCATTTGAGCAGTGTTGGCCTCTCTTGGTGCTTCTTTGCTGTGCCTGTAAATAAACATGATATCAGAACAAGGCAAGCAAAAAATGTATGAACTGAACTGGAGTGAGCATTATTTGTATGGAACAATGAAGGTGTATGTAAAACATTATATGGGACAAACCTAGTACTGATTTTTTCCTCCATATCATCATCCTGTTCAGGGAGGGGATATGTGGAATTAAAGAATTGAGAATTGCAGCTTTAGTGAGTCAAGTAAGCAATAAGCATACTTTAATTTCCAATTCTCAATTCTTTAATTTTTCTTTTCTTTAACTAGTATTTTCACCTGTGCGTTGCATAGAATTTCGTGAGCTAAGCTGCGAACTGAGTAAGAGAACAGATAGCACTTTGTTTATTCATTTCAAGAGGAAGTGGAAAATGACGTTACATGCAAAGGAAAAGGCTGCCCTTATTTAAGTAAAAAGTTGGTGGCAGTTGTAACAAACCAAGGGAATTGAAACAAATGCATCTTACTCATCAAAACAAGCATTTGAAGATGAGATGCTTATAGGAAAAGGAGAGGGTTTGTGTTTGGCTAGATGACACACATCACAAGCTTTATTAATTATAGGTAAATTTTGAGTTTCTCTAAACAAATGCATCTTACTCATGGGAAAATGCCCCAATCGTCTATGCCAAATCTCAATTTTATTACATTGCATAACCAAACGTTTGTGACCAGCAGATTACATTGATGACTTCAACAAATAGAGTCCTCTTTCTTGCTTAGCTAAACCAACCGTCGTCCCATGTGGTTTCTGAATTATGCACTGTTCATAAGAGAAAATTAGGCTGTAGGACTTGTCTTGGAGCAACTTACTCACTGATACGATATTAAACTGAAAGGAAGGATATGCATGACATCTTTTAGGCACAGATTATGTCAAAGGTTCACTGTACCTCTGTTTCTAACAACAACATGACTACCATTCGGTAGACAAACCTCATCTCCTTCAACATTGTAATGGTCATCAAAAAAATCAATAGAGCAAGTTATATGGTCTGTTGCACCGGAGTCTAAAATCCAAGTTGATGCACAAAGTGAAAGAAAATTAACTTGAGAGATAGAATACCTGCCTTCTTTATCATCCTCAGTAAATTTTGGAATTAAGGACACTGTAGCAGTGGCACTAGAACCAGCAGACTACCCCATCTGACTCTGCAAAGCTACCATTAATTTTTGGAATTGTTCACTGGAAATCCCCATGTCAGCTACGTTGTAATAGATTATGAACTTAACTGATATTATTGATGTAAAACAATCAGCTTTAAATAGCATACAAGGGAGAGAAGATAGTGAGTAGTTAGCAGGTTGTTGTAACAACCAGTCTAACAATGCTACATAAAAGGAATGCAACTAGATTTAATTATATACAAAATATGTCAGCTACAGATATCCTTAACACGTTGTTCACCATACTTGGCGCGATACTCTGCTGTTTAATCTTAGATTTGTAGCCCAGCACCCACCCGGGAGGGTAACCGTGCTTTTTGTAGCACTTGTCAATGGTGTGACCCATCATTCCACAAAAGACACACTTAGGCTTGTTGTTTCCATTGCCTCCATTTCTTCTAGGATTATAGGTATTCATTGCAGCAATCAAATTCTCTATAGAACTATGAGTCTGTTGAACACTGTTAGCCTGACTAATCTCCATACTGTTTATGTTTAGATTTGATGCATTAATCTGCCTCTCTACTTTCTCTGCCATCACAAATACCCTATACACCTCTGGCAATGGATCCATTACAAAAACATTGGATTTCAGACCATTATATTCATCATTTAACCCCTGTAAAAACCGTATGACTTGATCGATCTCCCGCTCTTTTATAATCACATCAATAAGACCACAAACACATTTCGGATCACATTTACACACAGGGATTGGCCTTAACGCATTCATTTGCTCCCACATAGTCCTAAATTTTGTATAATAATCACTTACAGAGATAGTACCTTGCTTTAGGTCATAGATCTCACTTTGCAGAGCAGCAATCTTCTGAGCATCGCACTGTGCAAACCTCTATTTCTCAGATCCTCCCAAACATCCGTTGCTTTATCTAGATGCATGATGGATTGTGCGATTAAGGAATGGACAGACCTAAAAATCCATGAACAAACCATCAAACTGCAGCGTCTCCAAGCAGCATAGCGATTGTGGTCTCTGCTCGGCGCCGGAAGACTTCCGTCAATGAGGCACCACTTATTTTTGACCTCCAATGCAATTCTCATCGAGATACACCACGAGGCATAATTAGAACTCCCCATTAGAGGAGGATTGACAAGGATTGTTGAAGGATTTTCATTCGTGTTGAGAAAATATGGATTCTCCTTATCTTCTATTCCATAGCTCCTCTGCGGATGAAGACTCCTCTGTGGAGTTGCTGTCGAGGACGTGCGTGACGGCGATCCAGCTGCTGGTAGCGTTGCATATCCTCCTTGGCTTGTCTCGCCAGTGACGTCAGCGGCGTACGTCCCTGGGCGAACATCTGATACCATTTCGTGAGCTAAGCCGCGAACTGAGTAAGAGAACAAAGAGCACTTTGTTTATTCATTTCAAGAGGAAGTGGAAAATGACGTTACATGCAAAGGAAAAGGCTGCCACTTATTTAAGTAAAGTTGGTGGCAGTTGTAACAAACCAAGGGAATTGAAAGATACAATTCTACCCCTATTACAAACTCTTTTCTTCCTCCAATATGGAATGAATTTGTTATAGTACATTAAGAATATATGGATCAATATACAAATATATATTATAACAACGAATATTATATAGTGCAGTTGATGAAATGTGTTAGATCAATTATGTTTTCTAATGTTATCCTTGCTTAAATGCCAGCAAATAATTCTCAATTACCCGTGCGATGCGCGTGCGGTGTGTGTGCAATGCACGTGTAGTGTGCGTGCAATGCACGTGCGATGTGCGAATAAAATTTTTTATTATATATTTAGATAATAAAATTAAAGATGAAATTATAAATAATATACGCTTAGTATATTAATGTTGCACATTGCTAGGTTAATTATATGATTCTTGATGCGTGAGTAACACATGATATCAGAACAAGACAAGCAAGAAATGTATGAACTGAACTGAGCATTATTTGTATGGAACAATGAAGGTGTAAAACATGGGACAAAACTAGTACTAACTTCCTCCATGGAACAATGAATCTGACTTGATTTCTCCATGTTGGAGAGGAAATCAATGGTGGTTCAGAGTGTATCTGGGAGGAAGAGTCGGCGAAGAACGAAGATGTGGAGTGGTAACTGTTATGAATAATAATAACAATATTATATGTTGCTTATAGTGCACAGATGTTGAGGCTAGCCTAGTGTTCAGACATCAAGAATCATATAATCAACCAAGCAATATGCAACGTTGATGAAATGGGTTGTATTGATTATATTTTTCGATGTTATCCTTGCTTGAATTCGAGCAAATAATTGCCTAATTATCTGTGTAGTGCGCGTGCAATGCATGTGCAATACACGGATACTAGTATGTGACCATTTCACATACTAGTTGTCTTGATTTTACAAAACTTACCTCCCCTGCCAGTCATCACCCTCACTCCTCACCTTTCTTCCACTTGATTTTACAAAACAATGAATACGGAAAACAGTAGTTGTTAGGTGTATGTTGGGAAAATTACATCCAAAGAGTGTGTTTTAGCAAAGAGGCTTGTCCCACATTGGTTTCCCAAGAGGATATTTCCCACTATTTCACTACCAACCCAAATGAGTCCTTTGAAGTGTTTTCTAGAGAGAGGAAAGGGGAAGCCTCGCGTGCGCCGCCCGCCCGCTCGGCACGCGCGGTGTGGTGGGGTTAAAGTTTTATTCTTTGTCCGAAATTTTTGCTCTTGAATTAGTCTTTACTAGTCCGATTTTTGCGCTCCTGAAACATTCTTGTGGACAGGAGAAATTCGAGCTACGTAGTGGATGGTTTATGCGCAGCCTCTCCTTTCTTTGCGCTCATTATTGTGGTAGTAGTGGGGAAGGCAGTTGGTATACACTAATATAAATACCCAGCCTTCCCAGAACACAAATGCAATATAGTTTCTGCATTAATACGTATACTCTGTGCAAACTATACGTGAGATACTTCTGTGTTTGCTGGTCGAAAGCTCCGGAATTAAAAGACTTGCACGGTCTCCGGAATTAGCTTTTAAGGCAGTGTGTCTATACACACGTCACAGAAACTAAACAAATAACTATCTTAATATCATATCCTAAACACACCCAAATCACAACAGTTAAAAGCTAATCCCTCCGTACCAAAAACAATATGTCTTCCTTCGTCGCCAAAGCTGCTGCTGATCTCGCGAAGATCAAACCTCTCAACGGGCTCAACTACCGCAGGTGGGCGGTGAAGTTAATGATTCATTTTGAAGCACTCGAAATTGATTATGTCGTCCTCAACTCCCCACCAGCGAACCTGCTAGATGCGGTCCTGCCTGCACAACCAGCTGCGACTGCCGATGAGCAATCAGAAAATGCAGTCACTGAACAGAATGCAGCAGCAGCTGATCCGAAGACACCACCCTCGTCCAAGACAGACGACCGAACCCAAGACCCTCGTACCAAATACGAGCGCGATAATAAAACGGTAAGGAGTATTCTGCTTCATTATATGTCCGATGCACTACTGAACATTTATGCCAGCCACAAGTGTGCCAAGACCATCTGGGATTTATTGCGAAAGAAGTACGGCGCAGACGACACAGGGCGGAAGAAATATGCCTCAACATCAAAGGAAAATATGAAGATCTAGTCAAGACAAATCCAATCAAGGTTTTGAGAGAATGTATCAATGAAGAGATTGACTGCGACAGAATGCTCAAAGAACAAAGAGAAAGAGACATTCGTGAATACAAGGAGGCCAAGCTGCAGAAGGAGAAACTATTAAAAATGTAAGATACTTTACATTCTGCTCTCCTTAAACTTTTTGTAAGTGTTTTTATCCATATATGAATTCTTCGTTGTTACATCTTTCGTGTCCTTTGTCTAAGTTACTTGTCAGTGTCTTGTTAATAATCTGTATTATTAGAAATGACTTGTAAACTCTCGATAATGGTTGTTTTGAAATAAAGAATCCTTTATGGGACATTTACCAGCCTTATGAGAAGAGTATAGGTTTTGGCATCATCAAAAAGGGGGAAATTGTTAGGAACACTTGTATTAGGATTTTGATGATACCAATGTAACTTAGAATGTAGACCCCTAACTTTCATCATTTTCGTCGCTGCTTTCGTTCTAGACGAAAGTTGCCATAACTCATTATGTAATTCGTGTTAAGTTAGACAAACACACGAAAATCGAGTTATGTTCATTAGTTAGGTCTGCCAAAGCGAAAAGGAACGTAACAAAGAGCACGAAATCGAGGCTTCAACAACGAAATACAACCTCAGATTATCAACCTTTTCGACAAGACAGTTATCTTTATGACGGTTCAGCAAGACACTCATTCTCTTCAATAACAAGAAGAATGTCTCCACTGTCTGAGTTGATTAACCTTCATGAGGACAAAAGGACCTTAAAAGTGTGGGACACATATACCTAGGAGCATTAAATGAAGTTGTACTATATTTCAGAAGCTAAAGGACAACCTCAAGGTTGCTCATGTTTACAACGGCTACATGGTACGAACCACATTAATGGAGCATTTATTGCGCCAAGCTCCCCGGTCCTTACCCACTGACAATAGGTTTGAAATTTCATCTCCCTCCAACGGATGAAATTTTCCACACCTATAAATACCCACCTTCATCAACTGAGAAGGTGCTGGTTCTTTTCACTCGATCATTACTCTCAAGCAAAAGCTCTTGTATAAGCTCATCCTCTTACCAAGCTTTTGTGAACCAGATTTCAAGGCGTGAAGATCTCTTAAAGAAGTTCATCAATCTTCATCTTCCACCTTGAAGAAGTCTTGCGTCTTGTATGAAGCAGTCATCCATACTCAGTCAAGACTTCACCGTGTTGGAGAAATCAGAAAATACTTTCTACCAACCTCAACTCTGAAGAAGACGTTGATAGAGGCGGAGTAAACTCGCGGAGTTGAAAAACCTACAGGAAGCTGTCCGACTTAGTGATCAAGGAAGCTTCTGTCTGTATTTGTACTAACGAGTGATAGTGCAAACCTTCCATAAGTTGTGGAAGAAGAGTGGAGTAGGCAAAGTTGGCCGAACCACTATAAAAACTCTCGTCTCTCTATCTTCTTACTTTCGTGCTTTACTATAACACCCCAAAATTTTAAAACTTTTGAGACTTATATAATAAAGGTAAATTCTCATTAAATCCCAAAACATAACATCTGAGTACGGGGTGCTATGCCACACCTGAGCTAGAGAACTCAGGCGCACAGGCTAACTAACTAATATCCTCAATAATGTCAATACATAAGCATGACACGCAGGCCGAAAGGGAAACTATCTACTCTATGCTCCGAATCTCTAGTGCGCTCCAGTGTCTACTCATCTGTGCCTGAAAGCCAAACATATCTGTTCAGCGAGAAATGCTGGTAACCCACTCCAACGCGTTGAAATACATTATAGATAGATATATATAGATATACGAAAACCATTTTGAAGCAGGAGGATATAGGGGTGTAAATGAGCCGAGCTGCTCGCGAGTCGCTCATGAGCGGCTCGGTCAACGCTTGGCTCGAACTCGGTCAAAATCGAGCTCGGCTCGAGCTCGAGCAGCTCGTGGATTAAACGAGCACGAGCCGAGCTTAGGTATTGTAGGCTCGCGGCTCGACGAGCCGTTCGCGAGCCTTATAATATATTATATAATATATAATATATAATATATAATATAATTATATTATATTTAGTATATAAAAAATAATAATTAGGGGAGGGAAATTAAAATACTTTAATAATTATGTATGGATAAAAATAATAAAACAAAGTAGTTTAAATTTTAAATCAAACAGGTCAAATTTGAGATCAAAATTGAGCTCAAATTCGAGCCTAAACTCGAGCTCGAATTCGAGTCTGAACTCGAGCTCAGGTTATGGCTCGAATTCGAGCTCGAGTTTGAACAATCGAGCTGCTCGAGCTCGAGCTCGAGCAGCTTGACAATTGCCGAGCTCGAGCTCGAGCATCAGTTCACAAGCTCGAACGAGCTCGAGCTCGAGCTCGAGCAGTGCTATCATTAACGAGCACGAGCATGAGCCTACCTAGGCTCGGGCTCGGCTCGACTCGTTTACACCCCTAGGAGGATATATACTTAAGAGACACTAGTTTTAAAACCAAGAATAGACTCGACAGATAGGGATAAGCACATTCCAAAGTTATAATCAAGCATATAAAGATACTAGCATATATCCTATGGTCACAGATTCACTTCATCCCATTCATACCGTCATTCAATTCGTATCTCATCACACAAGCATACTTTGGTGGCGCCACAGGACCAATCGCATGCCCATACATGAGGGTCAGCGCATATAGCTCTGACACGGCCCCGCAGCACCCTGCCTCATATTGCAATA